AATTGAGGCAGTTCTGAAGGCAAAAGGGGGTCCAACCCGTTACTAGCATGGGGTACCTAATAAAGTGGCCGATGAGTCTATATTTATATATAAAATTTGACACTGGCATTTAAGAGGTTTAGAAAAAATATCCCACCTTTACTTGCGTGGATGAGCCCTTTAGGTTACCAATGTTGATCTGAGGAGCTGTGTGAAGGTTAGAGAGTTTGTTCTCACTCCACTCAGAGAATTTAAGAAGATCCCGGTCAAACTGGTCCACCAATGAAACGTGGCTCTGAAGCTCTGTGATCCTAGCAGAGAAAAGGGATTCAAACTGAAGCTTAGTGTTTCATTAAGCTGTTATGGCTCAAAACTTTTCTCCTCTGGCTGCATGTATGTCTCCAAATAAATCGGAAGTAATTGATAAAACAATTAAATTCACTAGATATGTTCACTATGCTTTCAAAAAAAAAAACACCTTTGAGGGATGACTTCCTGTTGAACCAGCACTCTTTGCTGTAGAGTCTGGAGCTTATCTTTAAGCTCTATAACATTCTCCTCTGGTGCTGTGGGGTACAACAATACCCCCAGAGAGACCAAGTCATCGTGGGCCTTCTTAAGAGACTCTACCTCATGTTGCAGAGCCTGAAACAAAAGTCAAAATGTGTTTGTAATAATACCAATAAGGTTAAGTTGTGGTTATATTGCTTAGATGAACATTTTTCTACCTGCAAATCCTGTATCTCATTGCATAGTTTGGCTTTGTCAGCAGAAAGACACTGACTTTCTGGTTTAGATGCAGATTCACTTCTCTCCAGGCAGGTTTCAAAGTGTGAAAGCTGCTTCTCAAACCTGGCGTAGAACACAAACATTGAAGTCTTAAAAAGTGGGATTTAAATCTGTTCTCACTGTTAGCTTGTGTTCTTTAGGTTAAGATAGAAAAAGTAGCTTGTTGCACATAAAGGATTATATGTGTACCGTCCGCCAAAGCAAAGAAAATATATTTTGTATGTCCTTAAGATGATCTATCACTGTTCTATGCTGCTACACGGATATAATCTATTTCTTTTATTTTTGATTTTTAAGTTCACTTTTATTTCATAACACTGGAATATGCCTGTTTTGTTCTCCTTTTGAAACTAAAATACAGTTTTTGAGTTAGGCTATATATATATATATATATATATAAAAATGTTTGTATATCTGGAGTGTGTAACAAAAGAAATTTCCCTCTAGGATTATTCAAGTATTTCTGATTCTGATTTTCAAGTCTGGCAAAATATTCTCAAAAGATTTAGAGCAAAAGTTGAACTGGGTCATGCTAATTTAGTCTTACCTGACAAGAGCAAATTTATTTGTTTTAATGTATAAAGATACACATTTCTATTTTGAATGCAAAACTCAAAGCTATCCTTTAATATAGCAAACTGGAGGCTTTTACAGAAAAGCCGGATTTAAATTGAAGTTTACTTAAATAAATTTACTAAGAGGGTGACTTCTAAGAGCAACTTTTACATAAGTTGAGAGAAAGTAGGCTTAGCACTAGCATTCATTACACGTTTGTAGATATGTAGTGTTTGTAAAAAAGCATTTCAATAAAATAGATCAATGTTTTTGGCTATAATGTGAAAAAAAAAGTTTTACAGATTTTTTGCAGGGCATTATGGGCATTTAATGCATATTTGGAAATGTGCACAAATGGGAATTTAATCTTTTTAAAATAGCTGCTCTGTCTTTTTCTTTAATATCTCAGCTATTAAATTAGATTATAATAGAAAAAAAACAGCAACGTCAACTGTGAAAACTGCGGGAATATTTGTCGTATTGCCCTTATAATAGCCGGAAATGAAGTTACAGTATTATTCAAACATGTCTGTATTTCAGCTGGTATTATACATATAACTATACAGGTTGGACATCTGTTGAAAAACTCCTACTTTTGCCACATAGAAAGAAGGTTTTCCAAAGTGCTCTGCTTGTCCTTTGCTTCCTCCAGGGCTTGTTCGTAGCTGGTGTTTAGCTCAGTCACAGCCCTCACTGCATGCTCCTTGTCACTGATTCGTCTGGCACTGGCTGACAGCGACAGAATGTTGCCTTTCAGCTGCTCCAGACTCTGACAGACATCCTAGGAAACAACAACAACAACATTATTTACCAAAAACAACTGCCTGTGAACTGATGCTGGCACATAAAACAGCTTTTAGCAGTGAATTACTTTAAAAAATGTGTTTTATTTGTAAAGATGAGAGCAGATTGTCATACCATGTGACTCTGAAGGGCTTTGTAAGTCTCGGATGATGACATGCAGGATTTAATAGGATTCTCCAGTTTTGCTTGAAGTTCAGAAATAGATGATTGTACCTTAAAGAGAAGCAAAATTAAAACACAATGTAAGCCAATATACCAACTCTAAAGGTTATGCAGTGAGAGTAATGTTAACTTTATCAACCTTGTTTAAGTTCAATTTGAACTTCAGTTGGTGAGAGGAGCTTTCCTCTAGCTGCCCATTAAATTGCTGAACACTCTCCTTCAGCTCCTCCCAGTACCTCCCAATTTGGGTAAGTCGGGCCTTAATGCGTGCTGCTTCGCCCGACGATACAAACTGGGCCAGTGCTTGGGAGTCTGTCTCCAACTGGGAAAAGGATGCAGCCCGATCTTCAAGTTCTGCTTCAACATCCTGAGATGTAAAAACCAAAACATAGAAAAAGATGACATTAAACACAGTCCTCTGGAAAATTGATGTCAGGAGCAAATTTTAAGTGTTTTTCAGCATGACTTAAGATGGCACAGGACGAAAAAGATGGTTTATTCTAGATTCCTTTTATAAAAAATCCAAACACATTTTCTTTCAATTTGTTGATCATAAACAACCACAAGTCAATACTTCAATGCAGCTTTATGGTGAAGCACATGTTTTTTGTAATGAGCTGTAGGTCTTGATAGCTGTTGACGGAAAGGATCTTCTGTGGCGCTCTGCCTTGTACCAGATCTGGACAAGCCTTTGGCTGAAGACACTCTATGATGTTTAACAGTCTTCTGAAGAGGATTCTCACTGTTGTCCATAATCCAGAATCTTTGTGAAACCATCTCCAGTGGCTTCAGAGAACTTCCTAAAATGGAGCCGGGCTTCTCATCTGCTAGTTGAGCTTTTTTAAGTCACTTACTCAAACGCAGATACCCCAGCAGATGATGGTAGAAGAGATCACACTCTCCACAACAGACTTATAGAAGATACTTAGCATTTTGCCGGAAACCCTGAAGGACCGAGGCTTCCTTAAAAATGACAGTCTGTCCTGTTCCTTATTATAGTCCGAATCACAGTGGCCTCTCCGGTCTAGTATGTTGTCAAGGTGAACACGAGGTATTTATACTCCTTCACTTTATCCCCTACTTCTCCTACAATGCTAATGTACAAAATTTTGTTCACATTCAGAATCATTATTGTTTCCACACCATGCCACAACCAACTGTAGAATCACTTGAAGGTTACAGGAGTCTTTCTTTTACTGAAAGTCAGACATGGTCAAAGGGAATAGTGAGAGTACTGCTCCATTGCTGATGAATGCTTGTTCAAAGTTGACTCCCCCAAGCAATTGTTGAGTCTTCTGTAGATTCTGACAAATCTATCCCCCCGCATTTTCACGTTTGTGTATTCATTGTACCTTGCTAACTGTCCCTAGTGCAATGCACGTAACAGTGATATGACCAGCCCTTCTACATGAGACTGGATAAAGGCTGAAACAAACTAGAGCAAGTGAGCTGCATTTTTCCCCAGAACTTTTCATTACCTGCCCCTTCAACATTGTTCCTGAGCTGAGAACAGGTCATAACCATGCTTTTCCAACAAGGCAAGGCAGAGCCTATTTATATTATCCATTCACCCACCGACTCATTTATATTGCAAAGCTCCTTCCGTGAAAGAAAGAACAACTTAGAGAATAATTGTATATTGTCTTGTCTGGCCTTTTCATGTCATTTAACATTTCAGCTTAGAAAATGACAAACAGTATGATTTCAGCATTGAGTAACATTTATTTTACCCAAGGAAAAGCACTACATATGAAGCCACAATTGTCCCATTTAGCAGTTTTTACAAACCCAAGGTGAGTCCTTCCTGGATTTGCGACAGGTATACTTTGTGCAGTGCACACAACGCTCAGAGCTGTGGTTCCTGTTGCAGAGAATGCACACCTGGCCTGCTTATAATAACAATGATCAAATCTAAAAAAAAAATAGAGTTCAGCACATATTCCGAAAGTAAGAGTTGTAGTATGAACTAGATTAAGTTATCTATGTATCCTACAAGTTTGGTGGCACTACAAAGATCTATAGTGTAATTATTGGCTATTATATGCTTTTAAAAACAAAGAAGAAATTTTGAATAATACAGTTTCGCCTGTGTTCCCAAAGTAAGATACAATCTGGTTACAATGATCTATAGTGTAGTCATTGCTCATTTTATACTTATTCAAATAAAAAAATAGAGGTGCCATTTGTCATTTAGGCTTTGGGACATTCCTCAAAAAAGTATTATTTTCAAATCCAATAAATGTGATGTGAAAGACATGAGATTGGATACACGTGAAATGAGTTTGATAATAATCCACGTCTCCTTGGTGACGCTTTTGAATATTTCTCTCTGATTATTTTTATGTTTTTGCAACTTGCAGACGGTCCCTAACTTTTGCAGAGGAGCGAGCTCTACATAGGGTCCAATGTAATTCTCCCAGCGCAATAGGAGACTCGTTTTGAGGAAACTACAGTTGTAGCTCACTGTCTGCCTTGCTGTGGTTGCGGTGAGTCGTCTGTTTTGTAGACTAATTAATCCGCCGACGAATTAATAATTCCGGAAAAGGCGAATCTGTGAATATATTGCCAACTTTACTGCAGTCTCTCCTCTGCTGCAGCACCGCACTGAAGTGACTTGAGTAATATTTGCCCCCTGTAAATAGGGCTGATGGTCATTATTGTATAAACATTCTTGCTTTCTCTCTCTACAGCGTTCCAGCTCGTGCAGCTATTTTTTATTGTACAGATCAGTTATCGTCTGATCGCTTCGTCGGTTGGCTTCGCTGTCTGAAATCATTCAGTTGTTGGTGACCCTGATGACGTGGACCTAGTTATATTAAACTACAAATAAATAGGCCTATGGAGCGATATTTTCTCTCCAGTTTCCTAGCATTTTGCTTCAAAGTGTGCAGCTCTGCATTAAACAAGGGGCAAGCTTTCTATTTTTAACGGTTTTCATTTTCTAAGGCAGT